TTTTGTCTTTGTATTTGAAAGATATCTTTGCTCTATATAAAAATCTAAGTTAGTGAATATTTTCCTCTAAGTATTTAAAAGATGCCATTCCATTGTTTTCTGGCCTCCATTACTTTTCATGATTAAGATGCTCTAATTCTTTTTTATTTTTATTTATTTATTTATTTTTATTTTAAAGATGTGTGGGGTACAATTCAGGGTTAGGTATGCAAACGTTGATTATGCAGGTACCCTTGTTGATGAGGTGTGCCCCTCCCTCCCCTAGCAGTTTCCCTCAACTGCTAATCCCACCCCCTCAGCAGTGTTCCACTACTGCCAATCCCTTTCTTATAGTATTATGATAATTGTTCAAGTTCCACTTATGAGTGAGAACATATGGTATTCTGTTCTTTGTTTCTGTGATAGATCACTGAATATGATAGACTCTTAATTCATCCAAGTTGCTGCAAAGTCCATATGTTTGTCCTTCTTTATGGTTGCATACTATTCCATTATGTAGATGTATCACATTTTTTTAATCCTTTGATGGGCAGGATGGTTGGTTCCATGGTTTTGCTATTGTGAATAGGGCTGCGACAAACAGGTATCTTTTTTGTAGAGTGATTTGAGTTCCTCCGGATGCTGTAATTCTTATCTGGCCCTACTCACCACATATTTCAGTCATGTGTCTTTTTTTCTTTGGATGCTTTTAATATATTTCCCATTATCTTTCATTTTCAGCATTTTTACCATGATTTTCCTTATGTGACTTGATTGTGCTAATCTTGCTTGTGTTTTACTGAGCTTAAATCTGTGGGCTGCTATTTTTCATCCTATTTGGAAAAATTTTCGTCATCGTATCTTTAAATAACGTTCCCTCTTTTCTGTTTTTTTCTTTCCGGACTCAACTACATATATTTTAGACTTCTTAATCTTGTTCTACAGGACATCTTTTTCAATCTTTTTCTCTTTTGCTTCAAGTTTGCATTGATGTGTTTTCAAATAGTCCTTTAGTGTCCAATCTTCTGTTAAATCTATCCAACAGATTTTTAATTTTAGAAATTATAGTTTATTTGTATGTTCCCGAATATAGCCTTCAGTTTCTGCTGCATATTCTCTTTCCTTGATAATTGTCACAGTTTTCTGTGTTTTTTTCCCATGGCCAATAATTTGTGTTTGTTTATAGGACATTGTGTGATACAACTTAAAGATTTTGGATTTTATTATTTCCCTCTGAAGAGGGTTGCTTTTTGTTTTTTTAAAACCAGGCAATTAAATTACTGATGAATCACTTTGATCATAAAGGGACTTGAAGATTTTTTTTTTTTTTTTTTGAGTTGGAGTCTCACTCTGTTGCCCAGACTGGAGTGCAGTAACACACTCTACCTGCTGGGCTCCAGCGATCCTTCTGCCTCAGCCTCTCAAGTAGCTGAAACTACTGGTGCTCACTACCATGCCCGGGTAATTTTTAAAAAATTTATTGTAGAGATGAGGTCTCGCCAACTCTCCTGGGCTGGTCTTGAACCTGTGGGCCCAGGCAATCCACGGCCTCCCAAATTGCTGTGTTTACAAGCTGAGCCACCGAGCCCAGCCGATATTTTTTTCTTTAGTATAGGTCTATTTTCTAGTTTTGATCTTAGTCTCAAGGCACAACATGCTCCTAATGCATGGTCTTCTGTTGCTTAGATGTTACCAAACTTCTCTAGCTTGATAGAACTTGAACTTTGAAATTCATCTTCTAACTTTGAGGCGCTGGTGAAATTTCTGCCCACCTCTTAGCCTTCTAGTATTGCTTTCCATTGGGTTCCCTTTGATCTCAACCTATGCAGACACAATTCTAGCCACAGAGGGGGATTTGAGGTGGATTTATGTATAGGTTTATGGCTCCACCCACTAAAGGATTTCCTTCTCAACTCCAAGTTGTTCTGACAGCCCCAGATTTCATCCTTGGACTCTTAACCCTTATAATACATTTCTTCACGAGCTCTTTCACCCTGTGAATTGTCCAAACTGGGAAGTGCTCCCGGGGGAATGGGCAGTTAAATGAGTATTTCACTTAATATAGCTCCCTTTTTTTCAAGGGTTTATCTTTTCCAGTTTCTGCTTACTTTTGGTTGCTCCTTAGTGACTTCAAATAGACTTTTTTTTTTTTCATATTTTGCCTGGTGCTTCTTTATTTAGTATCTATTCTGCTAAATTATAGTTGGTTGTTACATACTTTTTTTAACATATAAACTTGTTGAGAGCAATGGGTATATTTTACTAATCTTTATTTTATTCCTCTGACCCAGAGCAGTGCTTTTTTACATAGCACTTACTTGTAAATGTTGCATTGCATTGTTATTTTTATGAAGACCAATTGTGAATCAGGATTTAAAGTCTTCTGCTAAAAAATTTATTTATATTTTTAGTACATCACCCTTAATATAAGTTTGAAGGAGTTTTTTAAGGTAAAATTTTGAAGTATCATATACCTTTAACAGTTTTTCTCACATTCACATAGCTTTTATTATAACTATTTTATTATAGTTGTTCTATTTTGTTATTAGCTATTGCTGTTAATCTCTTACTTTACCAGATTTATAAATTAAACTTTATCATGTGTATATATACATAGGAGAAAACAGTACATATAAGGTTTGGTACTATCCATAGTTTCAGGCATCTGCGGGAGGTCTTAGAACATAGCCCTGTGAATGAATAACGGGGAGCTATGCTGTTAAAAGGTATCTGCACTACATGTGAAGTGGCAAAGTATAATCAAAATGGACTTAGATTAGCTAATAATGTATATTGCAAACTCTAGAGCAACCACTAAATTTTTTTAAACATGTATTATTGATTTGCTAAGAGATAAAGTGGAATAATATAAAATGGTCAAATAGAACCAGAGAGAGCAAAAGTAGGAGAGGTAAGAAACAAAAAAATAAATACAGCTGGGTGCGGTGGCTCATACCTGTAATCCAGCACTTTGGGAGGCAGAGGTGAGAGGATTGCCTGAGCCCATGGGTTTAAGACCAACCTGGGCAACATGACAAGACCTGGTCTCTACAGTAAATTAAAAAAAAAAAAAATTAGCTGGGCATGGTGGTGTGTACCTGTAGTTCCTGCTACTTGGAAGGCTGAGGCGGAGGAAGGATCACCTTAGCCCAACAGGTCGAGCCTGCAGTGTCCATGAGAGTGCCACTGCACTCCAACCTGGGTGAAAGAGTGTGACTCCGACTTAAAAAAAACAGCCAACAAATACAACAAACAGAAAACTGCTAAAAAAAACCAGGACAGATATTAAATCTAACCATAATAATAATCACTTAAATATGAATGATATAAGCATACCAATTAAATACACTGTTGGAGTAGATAAGTAAACAAGACAAATATATGTTGGCTAAAAGAAACAGACTTTGAATTTAATGACTTAGGTAAAAGTAAAAGGACAGTGAAAAGTATACCATGCCAACACCAATCAAAAGAGAGCTAGAGTAGCTATATTAATTTCAGAAAAAGTAAATTTCAGAACAAGGAAAAATTTCAGGTATGAAGAGGGCATTACATAAAATATGGGAGTAAATTTTCTGATAACATATGATCCTAAATGTGTATGAAGCTACAGCACAACGTAAAAGTAAAAATGAGGTAAAAATGGATAGATCTGAAAGAAGAAATAGAAAATATAGTATCGTAGTTAGAAACTTCAACACAACACACCTCTTTTAGTGATTGATAGATCAAGTTGACAGAAAGCTGGGCTTGGGCGATTCTTCTGTCTCAGTCTTCCAAGTAGCTGGAACTGCAGGCGCACATCACTACGCCCAGCTAATTTTTTATAGATATGCAATCTCGCCACATAGTCCGGGTGGACTGGTCTTGAGCCCCTGGATTCAGGCAATCCTCTCGCCTCAGCCTCCCAAAGTGCTGGGATTACAGGCATGAGTCACCACACCTGGTTTACATTTCCTTCTAATCACTGTTTTTGCAGTATCACAATAATTTTAATAAGTTGTATTTTAATTTTTATTTAATTAAAAAAAATTTTAACTTCTTTTTTGGAATTCATCTTTGACCTGTGTGTTATTTAGAAGTGTATTTTTGAATCTCCAAATATTTGAAGACTATCTAGTTATCTATTTGATATTGACTTGCAGTTTAATTCCATTGTGGTTTGAGAATATTCTTTGCATAATGTATATTCTTTTAAATTTGGTAAGGTGTGTTTTATAGTCAAGATTGTTATCTATTCCTTTAACAATTACTGCTTCTTAAATATTTATGTTAAAAATATTTTATCTTTGTATTTTAATATTAATTCATTATAATGTTGACATATTATCATATGATCTGTAAAACTGCTAAAGGTACTGCCTATAACTGTTAGATTTTCAATTATGGTTTACACCAAAATATATCATTTTTATATTTATGTAAAAGCAAACCTACTCTCCTATGCAAATAGTACAGAGATATCTCTTTTATTTAGAATATTGATAGTTTCTAAATTCTCTGTAGTATATGGTCTTTGAATAATTTTACTTTATAAGAAGATATTTAAATTCTATTTAAATTAGCCTTTTAAAGATCAGTTTAATGAACAAAGAATTTATTTCATGCCAACATTACATTAATATAATTTTTGGAGGGAGTCATCTAATTTGCCTTTGTTATTATGTTCTGTATTCTGAATTTGTGGGGAAATGACTGTAGCCCTAATCTTAATAAATTAACTAATTTTTAGGTATTATTGATAGTCATTAATATTATTTAGTACTAACCAAAGGGTTTACTTGAGTGCAAAGAGGTATTATGCAATGATTTCTTTTAAATGAGATTTTTAGTTTGTATAAAAATATTATATTTGTCGCTAAACTGATCATGTCAGTTTCAAGAATAGGTTATATTATTTGTACCATACAAAAATCATAGTTGTGTTTGTCCATTTTTATGAGTTTGCCTTTTTAATTACTTGAAAGAAGAAAATTGTTAAATGAAGCTAAATAACTTTATTTTTTTCTTTTCTTCTTTAGAATCGAGTTTCTTACTGGGAAATGCCCAGATTGTGGATTGGCCTGTAGTTTATAGTAATGACGGTTTCTGTAAACTCTCTGGTTATCATCGAGCTGACGTCATGCAGAAAAGCAGCACTTGCAGGTAGGTAACAGAAGATCTCAGTAATATTTTCTGAAATTTAATCAAATTCTCAATGTGGTGAAAAGGCTTATGCTTATTTGGACTCACATAAACAAACAATAGGGTTAAAAATTGTGTAGAATAATAAGGAGAGTAAATTATAAATGGAAATAGTTTCTGAGCTGTTTTGCAAAGGAAAAGATTTTTGCGTATCTGTGAGTTAATTAAATCACTCCATAAATATTTTTTGATCACCTACTATGAGCCAGGAATTGTCTAGGTGCTGAGTGATCAGAGGAACATTCTATATCTGAGAAGCACTTGTAAAATCACCTCTAGAAAAACTAAAATTGTCTCGAACAAAACAGAGTAAATAACCCCCAGTCAAGCAGACGTGGTCCATGAACACGTAAGGAGTATCAATATAAAGTTTTTGGTCCTACATAAACCACATGTACTTTATAATATTGGCACATTGTGCCATCGCTATTTTGTTTGACTTGTGTAAAGCAAAATCTGACATTTATATTATTTACATCAATTCTTAAAAAAATATGCCATTTCTGTGAGCATAAAGAGAGTATTAAGAAAAAAGGGGATCGAAAAAAGAAAAGGAAACTGTGTATAAGGAACCAATTTAGAGCTTAAAACTTTTTTACAATATTTTAGTAAGGCCAGATGGAATGATTTTTCCTTGAGTTAATTTTTAAAACTCTCAACTAAGCACTGAACCAAGTTATTTTAGAACTACAAGAAATCTGAATTTTTTTTCTAGGCCAAAACTTTTGTTTTTCAGATGAGAAAACTGAGGTAGAGCCATGTTCAGGGACTTTTTTCTACCCACTTATGCTGAGAAGCATTATATGTAATGATATATACATATATATGTATATATGTGTGTATATATATATATATACACACACACACACACACACACACTCATACATACATACAGTTGAATCTTGAACAACACCAGTTTGAACTGCTTGTGCCCACTTATAGGCAGATGTTTTTTCAATCAAACACAGATCAAAATATGATATTTGAGAGATGCAAAACCTGTGTATATGGAGGGCTGAATATTTGTATATATAGGTTCCGCAGGACCAACTGCAGGACTTGAGTGTGCATGGATTTTGGTATGTGTGGAGGTCCTGGAACCAATCTCCCATGTTTGCCTAGGGAGATTTTTCCTCCCTTCCTTCTTTCATCCCTTCCTCCTTCCCTCCTTCTCCCTCGCCCTCCCTATATGTATTCTGCATCTCTCTCTATATATTCTGCATCTTCATGGAGGGATGAAGGTTTATACTATTGAGTCTAAACCTACACATAGGTATTACTTAGGTAGGTTTTGCGAAACGAGTTCCTACACCTCTTAACCTACTGAATCAGAATCACCTGAGTAGGCATGTAAACTAGGAGTCAGTATTTTTAACCAACAGTTTAGGTGATTCTGATACTAATCCAGGTTTGAGAAACAATCTGTTCAGTCGTCTTCCTCCTTCCCTTATCTTCCCTCAACCACCCTCATTTTTCCCACTACTAAAGTCATTTCCATATTTAGGCTTCACTTCCAAGTATGAAATTGGTAAATGGGAATGATGAAAAACCGTGACCCCTGGTTGAGATGCTTGCTTGGTAGCGCTAATGTCTTTCTTCCTTTTAAACAATTAGGTGGGCATTCACTCCAGTGCTAGCACTGTCATTAAGGTGTGTTTTCTAAATTCTGGCAAGGTGATGTTAAGCTTCGCTGCTTCCCTATTCCCCTAGAAGGGGGTTTAAGTTAGGAAAAAATTAGTTTTATGGGAGACCTTATCTTGTGGAACAGACTCTATAAAGAGTTCTAGAAAACAAAGATGTCCACACACCCATCTCTTATTCCCGGATGACTGGCATCCCTCCTTCATGCCAAGTCTGTCTCAGGTCTCATTTTCCACCTGAGGATATTTATGATTCCCTAAACATGATGTGTTTTTTGCTTCTTTGACTCCTCAGAGTTTTTTGTGTGTATTTCTGTTGGCACCATCATTTGGCCTTAAACTAACTTGCCTTATCCCTTGGGTTTTTATTCTTATTGCTTTATTGCTTTTGTTGTCATGTTTGAGAAATATTGCTTTCCATATCTGGTTATATTTTGAAGTTCTCTCATCCCTTCTTGTGTCCCATGTATCTGCCCTACGCCCAGCCTGTTTTCTTTGGCAAGTACAACTTTTTCTACAAAGGGTTTATTTTTAAAATACTGGTATATTATATCAGCTCTTCTTTCCTCTGAAAAAGTGACTTTTTCCCTCCTGCCACAAGTACCAGATTGTAAGTGCCTTAAAGGTAGGGATTCTCATCTTTCTCACCTGTATAAACAACAGATGACAGATTGGATTGTTTTGTAATAAATGCTATCTTAGGTCTCACATGCTTCTGTATAGGCTATTTTTATTTATTGTATTTCACCCCAGGTGTTTAACAACATTTCAGGAGGGTGAGGAAGGAAGAATTTTGGATTATGTCATGCTTTTTCACTGTGAGGGAAAAAAAAAAGCATGCACGTCTTTTCCCAAGTTGTTTTCACATATCAGGGACAGTATTTTCAAAATGATTATATTCTTAACATAAACAATTATGACTTGCTTGCACAAAATGCCACATGTGTGTTGCTAATCTAAAAATTATAACATGCTTAATGTCCTCACACAGCACTGAAGACTAGCAGCTGATATATAAACAAAATATCTGAGCCCTGTCAGGTTTTCTTGGAAGTGTGATTTATTTTAATATTCTCCCCTTTTAAACATCCTCATTCACTTTTAAAGTTAAACTGTACCCGTTTTATGTTTGCTGCAGCATTATTTACAAGAATGAAAACCTTCTAAATAAATAAAATATCGAGTATTAGGAGATTTGTAAATGGCAAAGTCCTATTTTCCTAAATCATATGTTTATAGGACAATAACACTGGAAAAAGCTAACCCCGTATTATCAAGTAAGAAATAAAAAAAGATCTCCCCAATGACTCCCACACTATCTGTATCATGATTCTAATTCTTTTACATATAGCATTTTTTATCAATTTCTTGAATAAATCTAGAAAACTTTGAATATGAGACATAAAAAACAGAGAGAGAAAAGAAAATTATATACACATTTAGACACACAGTGTTAATGGCTAAAAGTTATTATTATTGTATGTGAAATTGCTGACTTCTGATTGAATATGGAGATAAATCATTTGACACTGTGAATAGTCATGCAAATAATTCCCAAAATTTTGTTGAGGTTAATAATGACAAGTTTTAGACAAACATGAGATTAAGAAACTATAAAGCAGTGAGCTTTATTTTGTGTGGGAAAATGCAGCTTATGACACTATATACATATCAGAAAAAAAGAATAATCTTTATGTACAATTTGCGTTAGATGAATTAAAGTCAATAAGATTAAAGTGACAACTGGGTAAATAATTACATGTCACATTTAAAAAGTTTAAATGTGAATCACTTTAATTTGTGTTTTTATAATATCGAGAGACTAATATTTATTTCTACTGTTTTCTTTTTGCTTCGTCTTTCTCAGCCCCTCCCCCATCGAACCAGATACACAGAATCAAATTAAACCTACTCCTCAGTTTGTCAAAAATATTATCATTGTGTTCTCTCTGGGCAAGGTCTCCTATCTCATTTTCTTTTCTTTTCTTTCTTTTCTCTTTCATCTCATCTTTCTCCCTCCTTTTGTAATTATGTAGTATGCTTATTGTCTGTCTTTCTAATCCATCTTCTGTTTGTTTATCAAATATGTGTGTTCTTGAAATGATGCTGTTTTATATGTGCTTTTAAGACCTACATAATTGCTACCACTTCGTAATATTTATGGTTTCTTACTCTATTCATTAACATTATGTTTTTGAGATTTCTTTATGTCGTTGCATGATGATCTGTTTCATTACATCTGATCATGGTCTAGTACTCCAGTGTTTTTGCAGTCTTCATTTTATTTATGCATTCTACTAGTTTTGAAATCCAACTTCCAACACTTTGCTCTCTCAGAGAGCTTGAAGACAGACACCCTCATACATATCTTCTTGTGGCCCTGTGTGAGTTTTCTGTCTCTATGCCCAGCAATGGAATTGCTGGATAGCAGAATATATGCAGAATTTGTAAATTAACTGCTATTAGATTGTTGTCCAGAGTGGCCTTCTGTTTCCACTCTCACAGCTATGAATGAGGGCTCTGGTTTTTCCATATCCTTAATATGTGGTAATAGTATCTAAGTTTCTATTTTAGAGATGTATGCTAGGTATTGTGTCATTTCTGTTTTAGCTAAAATTATAAAACTTGTGACACTTCAGGATTCCTAAGAATTTCAAACCAAGTCCATTTTTTTGTCTAATAATTGCATTTCCAAGCCTTTGGACTTTTTGCTGCTTATTGGAGGACATAAAAAAGTATTGCAGCCGGGCTCGGTGGCTCAGCCTGTAATCCCGCGCCTTGGGAGGCTGAGGTGAGTGCATTGCCTGAGCCCGCGGGTTCGAGACCCACCGGGACACCTTGGCGAGACCTCATCTCTACAATAAACCAAAAAATTAGCTGAGTGTGGTTGCACGCACCTGTAGTTCCAGCTACTTGGAAGACTGAGGCAGAAGGATCGCTGGAGCACAGCGGGTTGAGGTTGCGGTGACCGAAAGAGTGCCACTGCACTCCAGTCTGGGTGACAGAGTGAGGAGACTCCAACTCAAAAAAAAAAAAAGTATTGCAGGTTTATAGGGGATTATAGGATTTGGGAGACATATGTTTAAAAGCGTATGATCTTATCTCATGACCCGTGAGAAGCCCTGATATTCAGAACACACTCTCATGGTTTAGATAGGGACCAGATTAGCATCTTACTTTTAATTAAATCTAATTGAATGAAATTTACAAGAGCCTATTCTGTTGCTGTTTTTTGTCTTTGTTTTGGTTTTGGATGGAGGGATGAGAAAAACAATCAGGTAGGGAGGATTGAGGAATAGATAGGTACTTTCAAGTATTTTT